CATTCAACTAACGAATTCCTCAAGAAATTCAATCTTCACTACTTTTGATAGATAAAACGTTCTGTTTGATCGCAGTATTTCCGTGTCATAATTCAAAAAATGCGATTATTTCTCAATATTTCAGTGCAATACTAAAATCAATGAAATCTCCCGGAGTGGTAGTGTGCGCATCAGATACTCTCGAATACATTCCTGACCCAACAAAATCGTTTCCATTAGTTGATATAATCTTATTTGCTCATCATTCAACAATCACCATTGCTAAACAGCACGGTGTTTACGTTCTGAAAAACAATCGCCTGTGGCGTGTGCTTCAGAAACCCAATGAAGACGAACTACGTGCAAATGAAGCATTGTTTCTGAATGAAACTCAATCTGGTTAGCATATTCATTGTGTCCATCATCTACGTGCCTATAAAATGGTACTTATAGAAGAGAGATGATGATATCATGTAGTTATTTGTGACTCGGTTTCTATCAAGTTCTAGTGATTTTATAGAGCAGAGTTGAAGCTTTCAATTGATACGATAGCATCATGAATTGAAATAGTGTACATTCAAGTGCTGGTAAGATAAACCAGTTGGCTATCTATTGAACTCATCAGTTACGAATCATCTTCATTAGCTCATTAAGACAGCATGAACGTTCACTTTATCATATCANTATCATATTTATCGTAAACAGTCACTCGAAAGTGATTCAAACAATGTTATGCATGAAGACTTTACCCGCTAAATACACTATGAAATTATTTCTATCATGATTTTCTTAGAGCATACCGATGTGGCAAGCGGTAAACAGTGCGAGAAGCTGAACCGTGAGGAATTGGCGCTGACAGATAGTTTCTACATAATATCGATGAATATTGCTGATAGCCTCATTAAGCTATTGCACAAAACGAGTGTAACAATTGAATGTGAAACGTGTTGTTACGGAGATTACTTAAGACCTTTGGGAGAGTCACCATTGTGGGATTATTTGCAATGTAGTGATGAACGTTTAGCACTTGCGAGAAAAACATTCGCTGATTTATTCAGGTTAGTTCGTGGAACTGAATGTTTTTTGCGTATTGTATCATTTTCGACTTCTGTGATGAGTTATTGGATACTTAATGAAATAAAAGATTTGAGAAACATAAACTAGAGGATGTTTCTACATTTGTTTTAATCAAATTGGATAATAGTGCCACTACGATCAGAGTAAATTTAATCTTTTGATCTGTTCATTAGATCAGTTGTGTTTGTTGATTTTTGGGAAATTTCTTTCAATATTTAAAACTTAAAGTACGATACAATAAATGACTTAAATGCATTCTTGTGAAAAATTCCACCTTCTGTAATCCCTTATAAAAATACGCAAAGAAAGCTGGATTTCATTCAGTTTCATAGCTTTTTGTTTGAGATTGTGACCGAGTTATTTGTATAAACCGAATTCGGTATCAGAGGAAACTGATTTGATTTGCAAAGATGTATCAGTTCACAAATTGGATTTTGACAAATTTCAGAGGTAAGACCACTGAAGTGGTCCAACTGCCGAGGAATTCATTCTTCCATTTTGGTACCATTCCAGAACTGCTAAACCATTTCGCTGTCGCATCAGTGTTCTTGAATCGGTTTCAGATAACTGATCCTCATAAATGCCTGTACTCAGTTCTTGATGGATCTCAAATCGAGGTGATATCCTTATGATTATTTTATTTTTTCCGAGAAATTTGACACTTCAATCCGTAGTTCTCTTTTTCCATGCGAAATAGTCGCTTGGAACACACATTATATGTTTTGTATACTTGATATGTAAGAATGATCTGTGAGAATATGTCGATATGAGATCATTTCGTTCAAACCAACAGCAAACTTCTCAATTAAGATCTCGATCTGAAGTAATCCTTGCTAATTCTTCAGCTGACGATTATCAGTTTTATAGCCCACATACGACGATTTCCAAAACGCTTAATTACGATAGGAACATTTATTAAACAAAAAATTCTCATTTCAGATCGGTGAAAAATCTATTGTGGAATTCTGCGAGTTCAACCGCGGAGCCAAAATCGGTAACAGTTGCCTGATAAGCTCGTGTTCGAGTGATCGTTACGTTGTGCTACCAGACGGGATTTGTCTAACGACTATAATTTTGAATCAGGATCAGACTCGCTTATCGTTCGACCAAGCGAATGATATAAATCAAAGTCATCTGAATCGTTTTCATAATGTTACCATCGCGTTTTCGATCCACGATAACTTGAAGCAAACCTCTGGATCCAACTGCACCTTGCAATGGTTTTCTCATACCATCAAAACGAGAACCCCTGAGGATAGTCTCTGGACGGTGCCTTTATTTCAAGTTTGTGATACGGCATCAGAATCNAAATTCTCATTTCAGATCGGCGAAAATTCGATTGTGGAATTTTGCGAGTTCAAACGCGGAGCCAAAATCGGTAACAGTTGCCTGATAAGCTC